TACCCATTTTTTTTATATCGGGTGCCTTCTATTTTGATGGCCACCGAGATGGTTATCAATTTACTATTGGAAATTTCAATCGCCATTTTTTTAATACACCTAATTAATGCATTCGTGTATTTGGGTTCCGAAGACAATGATTATAAAACCATTGCCGTTAAAACCTTTGGGCAATTGGCCAAAATAGTGCTCTGGATAGTGGCCGTTGTGTTGGTTATTTCAACCATATTGCAGATAGACCCCATAAAGGTCATTACGGGTTTGGGTGCGGTAACCGCTGTGTTGATATTGCTTTTTAAAGACACCATTGTGGGGTTTGTCACAGGAATTCAGGTGGCGTATTCTCAATTGGTTAAAGTGGGAGATTGGATAAAAGTCCCCAAATATGAAGCCGATGGATACATCAAAGAAATTGATTTAATGTCGGTTAAAATCGAAAATTTTGATAAGACGGTGTCGTCCATACCCTCTTATGATTTGGTGGCCACGGAAATCATCAATTATGATCCCATGACTACGGGCGGTACTCGCCGCATCAAACGGGCCATTGTGTTTAACGTGAAAAGCTTTCGATTTTTAAGCGATCAGGATGTTCAAATGTTTCAACAATATCATTTATTGGAAGGCTATATCAAACACCATTGGCCGTTGATCAAAGCCCACAATCAAACACAAAAAATCAACACCCAAATATTGGGCAATGGTTTGAATTTCACCAACATTGGTTTGTTTAGGAATTATGTTCAAGCCTACATTGCCAATCATCCCAAAATAGACCCCAAAGGCCAACAATTGGTACGCCAATTGCAAATGACCGAAAAAGGACTGGCATTGGAGATTTATTGCTTTACAACCACCGCCATTTGGAAGGACTTTGAAGAGATTCAATCCGATATATTCGATCATTTATTAACCATTGCCACTCAATTTGGATTGGATGTGGCCCACAACAATTCATCGAATTAATTTTTATCTATGACCCAATTAAGCGTTAACATCAATAAAATAGCCACCATCCGAAATGCCCGTGGAGGCAAAATGCCCAATGTGCTGGAAGCCGCCATCCACTGTGAACGCTATGGAGCCCAAGGCATTACCGTGCATCCAAGACCCGATGAACGGCACATTACCTATCAAGATGTGCGGGATTTAAAGCCGTTATTAACCACCGAATTTAATATAGAGGGCAATCCCCAATACCCATCGTTTATTGATTTGGTACTGGAAGTTCAACCCCATCAAGTGACCTTGGTACCCGATGCCGATGGGGCCTTAACTTCAAATGCTGGTTGGGATTGTAAAACCCATGCCGATTATTTGAAAGATATCGTACGCACCTTTAAACAGGCCAACATTCGCACGTCCATATTTTTGGATGCCGTTCCCAGCATGGTAGAATATGCGGCCCAAACAGGGGCCGACCGAATTGAACTCTACACCGAACATTATGCCCATTATCATGCGCTCCATCAAAAAGAACAGGCCATATCGGATTATATATCCACGGCCCAATTGGCACAATCCATGGGTTTGGGTATCAATGCTGGCCACGATTTGGATACTCACAATTTGGGCGATTTAATAGCGGCCATACCCTTTATTGATGAAGTATCCATAGGACATGCGTTAATATCCGATGCCCTTTACGATGGACTTGAAACCACCATTCAAAAATACCTTAAAATTATTGATAACGCCCATGCCCGAATTGTATAGTCAAATTATGGATTGCAAACATCCCATAACCCATGATCTAATTATTGTTCATGGGTTGTTTGGCATGTCGGACAATTGGGCGGGATTGGGCCGTCAATTTTCTGAATTTTGTCGGGTTCATTTGGTGGATTTGCGCAACCATGGGCGTTCATTTCATAGCGCCGATATGTCCATTGATTTGATGTCCGACGATTTAATAAACTATCTCCAAACCCATGGCATGGATAGTGCCCATTTTTTGGGCCATTCCATGGGAGGCAAAGTGGTGATGCATTTGGCGCTTACCCAACCTGAAAAGGTGAATGGTTTAATGGTGGCCGATATGGCGCCCAAAACCTATTCCGCCCACCATCATCAGGTATTTGCCGCATTGCATGCCATTCCTTTCGATCAAATTG